ATCAAGCATGTCCCTAATCTTCCCCATTAATGCAAGTATTATAGTTGCCACAGGCATCTTATTCAATTATCAGTGGAACTGAAGGTGATTCATGTGATTCAATAAGAAGAGAGGAGGTTTATGACATAACCTGTCTTCTAAAAGAGGCGGATGACTTGTTGAAAAAGCTTACAAATCACCGCTCTGACTGACTGCCAGGTTTCTTCTCCCAGCTCCTCCTCCCTCCGCAGCCCAATATAAGATCCATGGTAATGGTGACAAATTTCTGTGTAACAGCGTGTTGATCAACTTCACAAGTTGGTATTTTTCTTTTAAAATTATCTGTGTAGGAGATTCTTTGAGCTGGAACTGAAACAGCACACATGAGGAGAACACAAACTGGCCTGCATTCAATTTTATTATCTTGCATATGTACTTGCTTTAAGGGGCTTACTTTTACAGCCTATCAAGATGCAGCTAGAAGTTCTGTTACAGAAGCTTCTGAACAGAACATCTGTACCAAAGCAGTATACGATGGTTGCCATTCTGTTCTGACAATAAACTGCATTTTGAATTGTTTCCTATTAAAATAACACGCAAGAAAACATAACATTCCATGCTGACTCATGACTCTGAGAAGGCTGCTGAAAATTACAATAGTTAACCGAGTTGACCAAACATTTCTTCCCTTTCATGCCATACCCTCTTATGTTTTTGCTGATTATCCCCATTTTTAAATTAAAGCTGTTGAATCATACTCTAAAGTCTGATTTTTTTTTGTGTGTCATATATTCTGGAGGAATATCGTTTAAATGATATTTAGTCAATTTTCCAGCAGCTATCAATATTATGCCTGAGTTAGAGTCAAGAGCATATTCCAGAGAGAGATTTGGAAACTGAAGATGAAGAAGAAGCTGAAGCAAGTGGTGGAATAAAAAAGCCTTTTTTTTTTTGCAGAAACAGTTGATTTAGAATTGTTTGAGGAAACTTTTATGTTAGTATCTGATGCAATCTGATGGGTATTAAACTATACACAAAATCTCTATGGAAACTATAATACACGTGCTTCAAGACAATGCTTTGCAGCTCCTTTAGAAAAAGTATTTACGGTGTATACTTGACTATTCATCTGCAGTGGTACTATCATCAAGGTAGTTTCAACCACCTTGCCTTAGCGTATCTTTTCTTCTACTTTGTTATCATGTGTTATCGTAAACTTTTTTACATGTGTTATGCAATTTCTCTCATTCTTTCATGACATGAAATAAAATTAACATATTTAGCCTATAAGTTGTGGAGCCTAGGTAATTATTTTTGGTCTTTAAGGCTACATCTTCTGAACTAACATCTTTGTGGAAAATCTCGGTGATTCAGCCCTTTGGTCATGTGGTTACACAAGTCTAGTGTTTATTGTTTGTGAGCTTTTACACCAACTTCAGAAGTCTGTAGTCTTATAACTTTAGTGTTATAGGTCCTATATTCAGTTGCTGCTGATACGTGCGATAGCTAACTATACTTGCTCAGTTTCTTCTCAGTACTGACTTTCACAACTGCAGAATGCACTCCAACCATCCACAGATGGCCTTGGTTCATATTACATTGTTTTATCTTGTCTTTATGCGTGCTGCAAAGCTTTCCCAAGTCTTAAACAACTGCTGTGTGTCAATCAGTCACTTTTATTTAGCAGGTCGTTTTCTGTCTGCTGTACTTTCATGTACTTATCTGAGCACTCTCTGGCCGACCTACTGGCAGGGTTTCTTGGTTTTTTTTCCCCCCTTTTCTATTCACATGGGTGTGATTCACTAGGTTTTACATGGGTATTGAGTACTGGACTTCCAGCAGAGGATATTTCAGTCACTCAGTACAACAGACATCATCGGAGGCTATGCATTTGGTAAATGTGAGTGTAGTAAAATATCTTATTTATGATTTGATATTGAACTAAATTATTGATTATGCAAAATGTTTTGCATTCATGACAGATTGGTTATGTAAAAATGTCTTGGCAGTAATTTAACTCACTGTACCTGTAGGGCTGGGGGGGGAGTGGTTACACAAGTGGTTATAGGCATATTTCTTATGTGCCATATTTCATATATCTAGGAAAACAGCAAATGATGGCAGGAGAAAGGGTGCAAAATCTACTTGAATAGGCGGTCTTCATCACTAGGTTTTGTCATTAAGAGAATCTTTTCCTGCCTAGCAGTGTGCTGTTCGTCCCCGAATACTTGATGATCTAGGTGCAGGAAAGTCTCCCCTAACATGGTCTGCAGGCCAGAGACATACTGGAGAAGGCCTGTGGGCTCTCCACTGAGAAAACTCATTTAATGATATATAATGGAGTTTTAACCCTAATGGAAACGTAGCTGCCAAGGCTGAAGATTTTGGATTCTAAAGTACAGTATAAGATTTTGCTCTAAGTGGAATAACAACCCAGGCGGAATGGCTGGCATTATGATTGAGGATGTATAGCTGAGGTCAAAGGATTATCTAGGCAGACATACAGAAATGCATGTTGTTTACTTAGGAGGATCCCTTGTTTTCATTATAGTACTACAAAAGTTAATAAGGAATGAACTTTAAGATCATATGGACTGACTGACCAACGAACTTAGAATACAAAGGGCCTAAGTTATACTGAAGATGCATGTTTTATAAACATGGTATGGTGGGTGGTATTTCTTAATTAAAAAAAGAAGGCTTGAAAAAATTACATTGAGATGTTAGGAAAGATGGACAGACATGTTAAGACACAGAAATTCTAAAAAATTAAAACTAGATGGGAGAAGAAGAGGGAGTGAAATCACCATTCCTTTAAGAGCATTATGTACGTACATAGTGGGCCAGCTCCCTACAGGGGCCACTGTAGAACTTCCGAATTTCACTAAGACTTCTGTTTGTGTATGTTATACACTCACATGCACCTATTTAGAGCCATTTCCATGAAGTCTTGAATCTTAGTTGTAACTACTATAAACTGGTCAAAAGATAGTGAGAAAAATATATTCTGAGTAGAGTTAACATATTCTTTTGACAATGAATGTGTGCAGTGAGGTTCTGCACATTCTGTTCTTCAGTGTTCTTGTTGACCCTCTAAAACAGGGAATAAGGACCAAGCTTAGTGAATTTATAGGTCATTCTAGTTAGGGGCCTTGCAGCCATGCTAAAGGACATGATTCAAACAGAAGAAGAGCCTGATGTATAATAGGACACAATTCAGTATAGACTAGTGCAAGGTTATACATTTAGGCATAAGCAATGAGTGTTACTATACAGCTAATATGAAAAGAAATATGGCCCAAGGGTCTATGAAAAGGTTTTTTCCACTCTAGCCATTTTCAGGTGGAGTCCTGTGTCACCTCTTAGGCGAGGTGATTCAAAAGAAGCCAAGGAACTGTTGGTGAAGAGGAGCTGAAAGAAAGCTGCAAAACGGATCTTGCAAAATTAACCTGTGAGGAAAAGACAGAAGAACTTGTGTTTGTTTAGTCCAAAGAGGGACCTGCTAATTAGAGATCTACAGAGAGTGTTCAAATATGTAAAAAACCTCTGAAGCGAAGCGAAGGGAGGGACCTTTTTTTTTTTTTTAATCCATGGTGGTATGATAAGAACAAGTAGGTTGAAGTTGAAGACATGGTGATTCAGGTTAGATATGAAGAAGAATGCTGTAAGAATGGGTAGGTTATCTGAGGAGGCTGTGTAATCCATTTCTGGAGGTCTTTAGGAGTAGGCAATACAAGAATATTGCAAATAATCATCAGTCCTAGGATGGAATAATGAACCAGATGATCTCTTCAGACATCTTTCTGTCCTGTTTGTTGGTATCTTTGTGATTCTCTCAACTCCTTTCAAAATTATCAGGGACAAGGGTGCTTGGTTCCTCTCAGCTCATAAAGATGCCACGCTTGTGTCCAGTTCAGCACTTGAAAAGTGTCTTTTGGTTGGATAAATATTTGATTTCTTGATTTGCATTAATTAGCACCATGTTTATTTTCATCATCTGTTTTACATTTGGACCTCTAGATCTCAGTGGAGATCAAGAAGCCATGAATATATTTACTATTTTTTTAAAAAAAATCCTATTCAGAAATGTTCAGTTGAAAAAGGAAGGATAGATGGGGAGGAAGACTATAATTATATTGGTGCCATTGTACGAGTAACTAGCTGAGTAGTCAGCTGCAGACTGGTGTAGTTGAGGGGAACTTGGGGAAGCTGGTTCCTGTATTAGCTGAAAAGCCAGGCAGAGTGTTTTATTCCCTGGCAGAAATGCATTGCCTGCAATGGAGCTGGGAAATGAACTGCTAAGGGCTCATGTTACTTTCGGTGCTCTAAGCAAACAGCTCCATTCCCACAGTTACACAATGTTTTAGTATGCAGGATGGAGTTATGGGACTCTTCTAAACTTTTTTAAATGAATCTGCAGATTTTTTTTTTAATTGTGATGTTTCTCTCGAGCATTAATATTCATAGGAAATGGGACATAATACTTAGGAACAGGCCGTGTTTTAGAAGGTCTTGCTTCCCATAAGGGATTACATAGCTACAGTAGTTCCTGATAAGAATTTGATAATTTAAATAATTTGTTTATTGCTAACAAAAACATTATACTTTTCTTTCAGTAATTTCAATGAACAGTATAATACATATGGCAATTTTTACCATTTAAAAATAACCACCAAGACTCCGTGACTTTGGCAAAAGACTGTTGGGACCAGATATTTCAAATTAAATTTTTTTTTTGTCTTGGTAAGATGGCATTTCCCAATGAAATGATAATTTGCTAGAAAATATCAAATATATTCCTATTCCATTCTTGATTTGCTAGAAATGAGAAAATATTCAAAATCCAGATAAAGAAAGGTACATTCAAAAGGTTTAATGCATATGAAATAAACAGTTTTGGTTTGTAGACACATTTTGCACGTTTTTTGTACTGTAACAACCACTCAATAGATACATTTTATTATTAACTAGTGCTTTAAATTTTAATATTAACTAAAAGTTCTCACTTTTTTTCCCCCCAGTCACAGGTGAATCATCATTCATCTAATAATGAAACTTATCAAGAAAGATTGGCACGATTAGAAGGTGATAAAGAGTCACTCATACTGCAGGTATGTGTTAAAGAGAACATTGTCTACGTAGTTGATATTCAGTGAATAGAAGCTGAAGTGACAGGGTATTTTCTGTTAAATGTTAGCAGGTCACCAAGTGTAACTGATATTTAATCAGGATTTAATTTATAATTTGTATAATCCATCTGATTGATTTCATGGTGGGTTAGCTTGGTAAAGGTGGTGGCAGTAACAGCAGTAAGAGGGATAATGACAACAAAGGAAGAAAACAAACTTAAAAATAATGCTGTGGCATCCCAAGGCAATGCTGTGGTAGTGGTTCTCCTTCTGGGTTTGCTAGGTTTTATCAGTTGCTTTTTCTAGGTTCTGCATGGAAACGTTCTTAATGAGCTGGAAGACTGGCAGGTAGATAGAACTGATATTTTTCCTGCTTGTGCATTGTACTGAAGTTGCTTTACGTCATCAAAAAGCTTAAGGGGGAGGTTAAGGGGGAAAAGGGAAATTTGACAGTAAAATGCATGCCTGAGCTCTTCCAGGATTCCATTTCTCAGTTTACCAAGTCTTTTTCAAAAAGATCTGCTGTCCCATGTAAGTTTTCCTCCTGCAGAAAACACCTTGTACAAAAAAAAATATTTTTTTCTGGATATTTTCACTATTACTGAACTGTACATTACATGCTTTTTTAAACTGAAGCTGAAGATTCTTTAGATGGTCTTTGCATATCCTTTCTCTTTATGCTTATAAAAGCATATTATAAGCATATATATTTATATCAACCAAAACTATACTGGGTAGGTGTTCTCGCTACTTTCAGGTACTAGTTTCTGTAAGCATGTCTTATCCTGTATGTTCTGTTCACACTTGTGTTAATTTACTGAGCAGAACTCTCACTGCTGTTGTTAAATAAACAAGAAATGGTTTGTGAGACATAAGCTTAGGCTTGGTTGGAATTTTTTGTTACTGTTAAACTAAAATTGCTATTACCGAATTTAGGGAAAAGAATCCTGAATTAAAAACAAACTTCTGGATGGAATTCAGTGTTTAAGTGTGTGCTGCAAATTCTCTTTTTTTTCTGAGAGGAAATCAGGTCAGGGGAGACAGCATCACAACTGATCTTTATTAGAACACCTTTTATTAATCAAGTGCTTATTAACTGTAACATCTTGACTCTATTAATAATAGCAAACAACTTTTCACACAGTACATTCACTTCTCACACAGTTCACTTGCACGCATGAGCAACTCGTAAGTGGAGCTACAATTAGGAGGCCAAAGCCAGTATCTCAGTCCACCAAGGCTGGGTCAAACAGTGCACCATGAAACCTGCTTCCACTGTTCAGGCTGTAGTGGAGGCTGGAAATGTTACAGCATCTATCTGGGATACCTTCTTATAGATCCGTGACTGTGTATAGGAGCTGATGTACTTCTTTAAGTGTTTGGTTTGTTTGTGGGGGTTTTTTCCATAAAGATGTTTTAAACCCTTACACCACTTGATTTTTAGCGAATTGTTTGATATGCCTCACTTTTATAGGTACTTATAGGTATAGAAAATATGTTACTCTTGCGGGTGTTGCACTGCTAAAGCAAGCTGGACTTGCCAGCGTAGCATATGCTGGGGTTATGTTCTGCGTGCAGCCTACTGATTCCCTGAAGAGTCTGGCAGATGTGATCCTGAACAGAGGGGAAAATATGAGCTCAAAGTGGCTAATGTGCCTCAGCCTAACTACTGGAGCAGACAACACATGCTTCTAAAGCTGCTGTTTACTAAATTCCTCTGCAGGTCACATTTAACATACAGTTTTCCTTACAGGTAACTGTAAGGAAACAGCTTACACTGTTTGGAACCTAATCTGACCCTTTAAGTAGAGCTTGTTTTCTTTTTCTGGAACTTGCATCAGACTGAAGGAGAGGATTCAGTTTGTTTCTTCCTGCTTTCTGACCTCACAGGGGATTTTTGTGTGCCATCATTCATCTAATGGGAGCAAAACAAAAACCTACATAAGCAACAGACTTCCTCGCCTGGAGTTCTCCCCCTGCCCCAGCTTGGATGTGTCCCCCTGCCATCTGCCTCCACCCACTCCTTCCTATCATCTCTCATCCTGCATTCATCTGTACTGTACCCTAGAGCCAACTACTTTAAAGGCGAAAAAATAGAATAGTCTTCCTTTTTTTTCTTTTTCTGTGTTCCTTTCCCAGGCATGCTCGTCATTATGTTTGCAGGTAAAACAAATAGGGATCACCTAGGCACTCCCTCTGCAGCTTCCCTGAAGTGAACTCAAGTTACTCATTGATTGGATTTTAGAAATGCAGCGTAGCGGGTACATCTCAAAAGTTTCACTTCCCCATATTGTACTTTTTTTCTTTTTTTTTTTTTGTTTAAATAAAGGTGCCGCAGGGTTGCATGTGACAACATAGATAAGTTTTTGTTAATGCATTTCATTCAAACTGGAGTTTAAATACCTAAAGATGCTTTTTTGTTTGAGACAACATTTTTCTAGTACAATCAAGGCTTTTAAATAAATAAATAGTAAAAATGAATGTACAGAATGTATGTGCTGCTTAACATAGGAATTAACGCTGGATTTTTTCCCCATCTTTCTAACATTATCCTGAGTAGTTTTTTCAGCTTTGCAAGCTTTGAGTTCAGCTGCTGGGCTTTTCTTATTACACACTCACTGGTCTGTACCACCATTCCCACAGTTCTTTACCAGTATTGCTTATTGTTTCTTTTCCTGGGATTCTTTGTCTGTATCTCACTTCTTTTGCTTTCATGTTTTGGCTTGCAAAGCCTGGGAATTTTTCTTGGAATAGAACTTTGCCGCTGCTAAAACATGCCTTTTACTCATTGCATGCTTTATAACTTCAGAACGCTTTATTGATAGGTAACCTGTTTTCTGTTCTTGTAAGAAGTGAAGTAATTGGTTGGTTTCCGAACGAAAAGTTTTATTGTTCATCCGTTTTAGGGAGTGAAATGCCAACGTAACCTGAAATGGCAATGCATGCTCCAAAACCACTTAAAATATTTTCAGTATCCTATGTTCTTGTTTGGTACTTTCCAATTTTTCAGACTTTTGCGTGACTCGGGCTACCTATAGGTAGTCTTCCATCTCTTCTAGGAATGCTCTTTCTTTTTTATATTAAAACAAAATAATCGGGGGGGAGGGAGGGTTCAGAGGGCGGGGTTGAAGCAAAATATAAGTAAGACTGAAAAATCCTCTACCTTGATAGAGCAGGTTGTTGCAGTGCATAAGAATATTAAACCATTGAGGACTTTAAAAGAGAACTTGCTGGTAAAATGTGCATTTGGATGTTAATTGTATAAGGTAATTGAAACTTATTTACAGTCAGTTCAGTAGCATTGTGCTTCTCTTCTCAAATTACAGGTGAGTGTTCTTACAGACCAGGTGGAAGCTCAAGGAGAGAAAATCCGGGACTTAGAAATCTGTCTTGAGGGGCATCAGTTGAAACTGAATGCTACAGAAGAAATGCTCCAACAGGTAAAAATCTGTATTGGAAAGCTTCTTGGATAATCTTCTTCAACAGAGGGGCAAATATATATGGTCAGCTTGTCTGCATGTGTGAGTGCCTTTGGCAACAAGATAAAGCAGGAAAAAAATGCCTCTTTTTATTGTTCTCTTGCTGCTTTGCACTTCTTTTTTTTTTTTTCAATAAATGTTTCTTTGTTTTCCTGTTACAGAAATGTTTTACTGGATGGTTGCATAACACTGTACGTGGCAGCATGTAAAATGAAACTATTGTGTCTTATTTGTACTGTGCTGACGAACTAAATTTGGACATGGTTGAGTAACTGGTTAGACAGGTTAAATGTATTTTATATATGTAGGAGTCATAGACTTTAGAAGTTTTATTTAAATATCTTCTGGTTTTGTATGGCTTTGAAACTGAACAGGGAGTAAGTTGAAATGAATTACTGTATCAAGTGTGGTTCTGTTACCATTTTTGCTTAATTTAGGAGCTTTCCCCATATTTTTGAAATAAAATGAGTATATAAAACATATTTTTCTTTATTTCAATCGACAGTTTCAGGCTGTGTGACTTAGTTTTTGCTCTTTCATGTTATATTTTGAATTTTGAGGGAGCAGAACAAATGGTAAATTAAATACCTTACATTTCATGTGTTACTACAGAGCTGGCAGGTCTGTCGATGCAAAAGAACTTTCCCGGTGCAATTTTCTGTTATTACAGATGTAGGTCATCCACTGGTAGTACAGTGCACAGATCTCAAAAATAGATTTGAAACTGTAAATAACCCTCAAAATCTACGCCAGAAATCTGCAGGATAGATACTGTTCTTGATGAACTTACTTTCTCTCCCCACCCAGAATGTTGCGTTATAAATTTCCTATTTTCGTCTATGTGAAATATACAAGTCTGTCTATGAGCTATTCATAGCTTTAACTTATGGTTGTGTTAATCTATATAAACCTATAAATTACAGTTGTGTCCATGTATATGAACTTATTTTACTATCATAAGGATCCGTGAACATGTGTATATAAACAGTAGCAGTTTCAATAAGATAAATAAACCTTTTAAAGTTATAATTCTCCAGGTTTCTCTAAAAAAAACTTGGTCTCGCACAACTTTTGCAGGCCAAAATGCTTCCAGCTGGGAAAAGTTTTATTCTCATACTTAATGTTTGGAAGGGATGTTTTGAAAATGCAAATAGCAAGTGCATTTAGTTTTTCAGTGAAATTTAAAGAACAGTAACTATTTAAGTTATGAAAATCTGTTTCAAACTTCAGGAAGGCATTCACAATAGAGCGTATAAGTTTCCTGTTTCAATTTAAAACTAGATAATTGTTCTATGACTTCTGCTAAAACTGTTTATTGTTTCTCTGACTTAAAATTTTCTGCTCTGACAGTCTTCTGAAGACTTTTAAAATTTAAAGCCCGATTTAAAAGAACAGAATAGGAATAGAAACAGGAATAGAAGAATAATGCACGTACATTGCTATTTCAGTGAAAACGTTTGAATCTACCTGTCTGGCATTAGGTACATGCACAAATTGCTTACAAAGCTGATCCTGTGGTGATAAGCTACAGAAGTCTGTACTAATGCAAAGGAAGTCAGAGAATCTCCAAAAACATAAACCTTAAATCTAAATTTTGAGATCACTTTGAGTGTCTATAATTGTTGCTAAATGGGAATGATTTCGTGTTTATTTTCTTTCCTGTACACATATTATAAAGCAATAAGCTCAAATTTGTTGGTTGTTTTGTATCGTAGTTTTGAGATCTTGCATTTGAACATAATTTACAGAAATACTGACAGACTTGCTTGTTGATTGCTAAATTTCTAAGTGACTGATCTCTCATGCTTACAGCATATATGATAGCTTGAGTTTGGTTGTGGTTTTTGTAAGAGAAAGAATTATCTAGGCCACAACTTGGTAAAGATTTGAGTTTCATTTTAATCCTGTGAGTTTGTCCATTTGAACTTTGCACAGATACAGACGTATGCTTAGTATTTTAATTGTAGTCTGAGTGCTGTACTTTCAATAGCCGAACCAAAATTAAAAAATAAATTCGGTGTGGAACTGAGATATATAAAATTTATTTTCTCACTGGAATGAGAAAAAAATGATGTTGAGTTAACATTTTAGTTTTGTGAGCAGTAAGAAGAGCAAATTAAGTGAACTACAAGAGGATGATGAGGGGACGGTAGTTGTGTCTTTTTCACATGGATTATATGCCCCAGTAGGCAGTGAGATATGGGAAACCCAAGTTAGATCTCTCCAAACCTCAAGTCAGAGAAAGTATACATTTATTATGGCTCTGCCGAGTGCCCTATTTGTCTATAATTTATTTTGAAGATCCTTTTCGCAGTTCATCTTGTTGAAAAGATTACCCACTACAGGGAATGAGCTGAGATTTGGAGAGAATAGAATGACCTGGTAATGTGATGATTAGGACGTTCATGTAAGATCCGTGGCCAACAGGCCTTCCTTCTTGCAGTTAATTTGTCAAAAGTAGAGTGAGTATCTGGCCTCAGGGACCTCAGTAGACTGATGGATCTATCAGGTTTGGGGGAGAGTTGTGTTTAGATCTTCTCAGCCAGCAGTTGCCAGGGTCCTGTACAAGTGCTCAGGAGGCTTAGCAAAGCGGTGAAAGTACTAGTGTTGTCACTGAGTTTTTCCAGTCAAAACTATTTAGTGGGTCTTTTGAGACAGTATTTATTTATTTTTACAGTAAACTTATTTCTAATAAGAAAAAATCAACTAGCTCTATGTACCTATATAATATTCTTGCTTTTCAGAAAGCCTTCTATTATCTTCCTGAGGTGCATGTAAATCCAATTTTATTTCATGGTTCTGCTTGCTTATTTACAATTTATTGAAGTCCACTGATTTTACCTTTGTGATTTCTAAATGGAAAATGGAACAATAAAGATAATTGCCCTAGCTTGAAAAGTCTTTAATGTATATTAGTAGAACTAAGCTAACTGCAGTATGAATAAGAATATTATTTACTTATCTGGGAAACCACATACCTGAGTGCAGGGTAAGCCCTGTCTTTTTCATTTTGGGAACTATAAGAAAAGTGACTCTTAATTCTGTGCCGAAAATGCTACGGTAAAAACAGAACCCATACACTTTGTTAAGATAATTTAATGACAATATCTGATAGTTCCAAACAGAAAGGGTAGGTAATGCTACCCTGCAAAATAGTTTTTGCTGAATCTCTGCTAGCAGAGACTTGTCCACTTTGTCAGGGTGGGGTTACTGGCTAAAATCCTGCTGGCTTCTGATTTAGGCACAGTTGTTTTGAACCCTGCTACAAAGTGATCATGGAAACACTTGTGAAACAGCAACAAAAATAAACTTTATACAAATTACCTTAAGTGGCTATTCAGCATTTAGGATGGACATCTTGAATGTGGAATAGTTGCAACAGATACTGCTGCTGCTTTGCAGAAAATCGTGATTCTTCATCACTCAAAGAGGATGAAATGTGAACCCTTAAGAAATGAGTTGAGCCAATCTAGAGGTTACTGCTACAAAAAGGAGAAGGCTTCATTCTCCTTCTCCCTGTTTCTGACCCTGTGCTTCTGTAACTTATTTTATACTGACTGTCATGCTCATCAGACTTTTTCCTCAATGACTGGAAGAAAACTAACTTGGGGCTTAATAAGAAAGGGATGGTTTTCTGCTGGGTGAGTGAGTTGAAACAGGTCACAGAAAAGGCCAAGACATGGCATAAGGGCAACGGTGAGATATACATTTGGCTTAGCTGTTTATGAAACCACAGCCAAAGAAAATATGCAGCAGCGTTTGAGAAACAGGAGAACCGTGTGTAATAGATGCAGAGGTGCCCTGGTGCCCGCAGCTACAGGTGATGCATGTATGTTTTCATGAGATGCGATGCTTACGGTGTCAAATTCAACATTTGCTTTTGTAAGAATACTTGTTCCGCTACAGACTCTACTCAAGAAAAAGCATTTTTCACCTTGAAGGTGTTTGCATTTTCTTTCTTTGAAACAAAGTAGGTCTTGAAAACTCATGGAAGTTAATGGGAAAACTTTAAATCAGTCCTTAAGCTTGGTTCCAGTTTGGGCCAAGAAACACATTTCCCTGGTCATCCTTCATTGTAAATGTTAGGAGAAAATTTTCTGGAGCATGACTCAGAGCAAGACACCAGTTTGGTCTCACTGAATTGCCTTCCAGTGGTATCTCATTCTTGCCATCAAATGTGTAAAGGATATGGAAATGCCAGCCTGTGAGAATAGTTACCTGCCATGACGCTTAGCACATTGTGATGAATAAGTCTTGAAATAAAAAAAAACCAAACATCTCTTGGAATTAACCTGTGGAAACAATTTATGCTGTGACAGTCCATTTCCAGTATATCAGCTGCTTTTAAAATGTAAAATTTCAGCCAACTTTAGAGAACAATTATGTGTATGTGTCTTCTTCTAAGTTACTTTGTGGCATTTCTAAGTACTTTTTTTCATTCAATTTTAAGAAGGAAATACCTTTTTAAGAGAAGAGAGGTTCTTGAACATCTGCTATGTTAGCTTTGGGGGAACCTCCTATCAACTTCCTTTCACTGTGTAAAAATGTAGAATAGAATTGCAAAGCAAAAGTAATTCTTGCTCTATAAAGCAGCCTAAATTGCCCCATAACAGAAAGTACCAGCCATGCGTAATGTTACCACATCGGTGCTATGGAATCTATGCTGTCAATCCTGACAGCTGTGTTAAGTCAGTTTGAAAAGTGAATTTTCTGCACACACAGATTTCACCTCCACAGTTCTTTTAAGAGCATTTGTTATGGTAATGATCATGAGTAGGACTAGTTAGTTACCTCTTTGCTATTCCAGTGCTGCATTTGATTTATTTAACAGATACTAGTTCCCATTGAAGCTATGTGGCATAAAGTGTAACAGTGTACAGTTTGCTTTGCCCATCAAAATGCTGGTCTGCGTGGCAGTGACTTTCCTGTACCTGACCTGTACCAAATCCTAGACATGGTTTGACCATGTGTTTCTGCCTTCCAAATTGTTCCTGACACGTAATTACAAGCAGCAATCCAGGGGACTCGTCAGATGCACAAACGTGATTGTGTCTTCTATCAAGTAAATTCTCTTGCAAAGTACAAAGCGCTTGGCCTTAGGATTCTTTCTGTCTTAAAAATCCATGTAGAAACTGAAATGCTTGAATGCAACCGAGTGAATTTCTGTTTCTTGTGTCAGTTTATGGCCAACTTCTGCCTGGGTGCAAGGAGCAGGGGAGAGTGTGCCAGACAGTGCCCTTTGTGAGGCACAATGGAGAATCCTTTAAAAATCAGTGGATTAAAAGAACGCAGGGAGGAGCTGTATGAGAGCAGGAACTTGAGCCCAATGCAGTTTAGCGTGTACCTGTTCTGGTTTTGCAGTTGTCTTATACTCAGGGGAGCCAGAATCCTATCTTGGTTGCAGAGTATAAATCTGGTGTGTATCTGTTTGCTTCTCAGGAACTCTGCTGGCCGGCAAGGATCATTCCTTCAACTTTCAATTGCCTGAGTTATCTGATCTTAGACGAATTTCAGCACTTGTTTATAGCGTGCAGTAACTTCTTGCCAGCAGCTAGCTTAGTGTTTCGGATTCTGGAGCGTGCTCTGTGCTGTTCTGGTTGTGAGGCATAAGGTTTTCAGAGTGTGCTCTCAAGTTGTGCAACTTCTCTATACAGGTGAGCATTACCCTGCTTTGTTACTTTACATTTAATGTAGGCACGAATCTGCTCGTCAGGCGTGTGCACAGTGCTGTTCAAATTGGCAGTGCAATGGGAAGTTCTGTCCTTTCCATTGCTTAACTATATAATGGGCAAATGATGAATTGTGGAGGGCTGTAATTCACCCTCTGCTACTGACTTGCACTATTTCATGCTGATTACACATGTACATTGCTCTCAGCTGTGTTTTCAGTTAAGCAAATATCTTATTTCTACCACAGCTGACACACAGCACTTGAAAAGTGCAGTCCTCATTAGTGGTGGCTCTTGCTGAATTTTGCTTACCGGGTAGGTAGCTTGGTCAGTCTGTCTGTCTCTCTCAACTATTTTAATAAGGGTGAAAAGTCTGAAAATTTTTGAATGTTGTGTTTTGTATAGCGCACAAGTGCAAAATGGGATCTTTGGGGTTTCCCCCCTGCCGCTTGCCTAAAATCTTACTTATGGTTACTCAATCGGTGTATTGCATGATTGTCGCTTCTGTTTTGTGGAGTGCTCGATCTCCTGGAATTTTCTGTGCTTGCAGCTGACAGCTTAGAATAGTGTAGTGTCCTCTTTCTAAGCTGTTTTCTCTCATGTTAAATTTTATAAGCAGCTTTATAAGAATTATGTATTTACAAGACAACAAAATGTGAAAGTGAGATATACAGCATGTGCTTCAGTTTCATTGGGGATATTGAAAAGCACGATTAAATACTTAAAAAGTATACAGTGAGAGTTTTGAAAATACAATCGTGTGTGGAAATAGTTTGCTGTTCATTTATCTGTCTGCTACATGCATATTGTAGCTTCTGCATGGCTCATCTTTGTAATTATTCTATTTTAAAATAGCTTTTAATTTTTAAAGTTAAAAGCTGAGTGTCAAAAAAAGAACTTTGAGAAATCAACTTGTAGTACATTTTCAAATTAAAAACAAGTATCTTGTTTATAAATAAGGTTCCCTAGCATATGTTCTATTTCTGTTCTATATTTCAGCTCTTTAAGATCCTCCTAAAGCTGCTACAGCCCAAATTGCCATTTTGCCTGTCTTATATTATCTTTTTTGCTTTAAACCCAATAACATAAATTTGTGTTTTCTTTTCTTACAATTGCATATTTATTCTGGCTGAATTCAAGTTGCATCATACCACTGAAATACACTATAATTTCTCTGTAACAAAATGGGTCACATTCTTAATGAGCTGTTCACTGTGAGCATCTGCTTGAAGATGAAAATAATTGCTTCCAGATGTTACCATTTCAAGAGGGTACATTTACTTTAAACGGCGCTTTCTTTCAAAGCAAAAGTTAGACTCTCTAGATGCAAGAGAAATCGTCAGCTGTTTTGAATCAGTGTAGCTCCATTGAAAACAAACGAGGGATAGTTAGCTATTTTGTCTATTTTAAGACAAGAGTTTTATGCCAGTTTACACTAGCTGAGGATCTGATTCTTCAGCTTCAGAGCAAATTGTAAAATTTTGTTTGAGTTGATTAAAAAAAAGCAACCATCAGCTGGCTTCATGCTTACTTATACCAGTTAGCACCTTACTGTTCAGATGGAGCTACTGAACTCAGACTAACGGGGTGAGGTATTACTCTCCATTGCATAACTACGTGTAATTTGGGAGCCTATAGAAAAAGTAAGGAGTAATACCAGATGATGCACTTTTGTAAAAGTCTCTAGAGGGAAGCCATGTTTTCTTGCCTTATTAAGAAATCTTCCTGTCGTATCATGGAACACCATGTCAGTGTCAAAAAGAAATAATTCTAAATGTTGTTTTAGTTCAACAGTGAATAGAGTCTGTCTATGGGGCCAAAGACACCTCATCCTGTGGGACTTTTTGATGTTCAGTGGCCTTATTTCATATCAAAGTTCTCATTTATAGCTATGTCTTCATCTACAAAAGTCTGGTGTGTTAACAGCTGTACAGAGTCTGTTCCAGTCTAGACTGGAATGTGCTTCTGGAACTTCTGCAAATTAGTGCTTTTCTGGAAGACAGGAGTTATTTGTAATTGTAACCGTAATTTGTAATCACCTTTGTAGAAAGCAGCTACTACTGGGATTTCATTAGGCTCTTTGAGTTTCTCAATAAAAAAAGTCAGTGCACTATCTTTTCCTGATTAGTGCTTGATTTATTTCATTCAGAGGAAAAAAACCACACAAAAACAAACCATGAGGCTACATTTCTGTTTATCTTCCCATCCATACACAAGTATCATTGTCAATGTCAGCAGAAATGGGCACGGCACTGGGAATAGTGGGTGGCTTAGATAATTGGTGTTGCAACGCAGATGCAAGTTTAGTACTATTTTTAATTTGGGCAGTATTCCCCACCAGACGAAAGCAGTTTACATATAGAGCAGATTTGGGTTCCAAATAAACTTTAACTGTATAATTTTTAAAATAACCTTTGAGGCTTCCTTGGCTCCAAGGCATAGTCTACAACATGCTGTGCAGTTTGTGGAAGAGGGAAGAGATGAGAAAAGGGTGATGGACAGGGCAGTTTCTGATCACTCGCTAACAGCAGTGTAGATCCAGAATGACTATGCCAACTTCACTTAAGATGCTTCCATGTAATTCAAAGCAGAATCTGCTGTGATTCCTCAGTGCGTTTCACATGCGAGTTAGGAATTACAGTAAATTTCTTTAACCATTTAGAAACCTACGTTCATTTGCAAGTATTAATTAGGCACATGGAAAGTTAGGTATTGATTTTTTAGTAAGGCTTAAACTCCTGAATGGATTTTTGTTCTCTTTGAAAATGAAGGCCAACAGAAGCATTTTCTACAATATACTGTTAAATTTTGGAAGGTTTTTTTGTTTTGGCTTTCTTGAAAACTGAAAGATGCAATGAAGGTGTGAACATTGAACACTTCCCAAACACAGTGATACCATTCTGTCCAAAGTATGCCTTTCTCTGCAATCTGAAAGACAAACTCAGGTCACACAAGCAGAAGTCGTGGCCAACTGTTTCTCGTTCACACTGTTACTCAGTTTAGACGTTCCCTTTTAGATTCCAGTTAGGGCGTACCACTTTGCATTCAGTGCTGTGTCCTCCACAGTGTGTAGCCTTCAAAAGTTAACAAGTACTACGTGGTGTAAACTTTTAAGTAGTATTAGTGTGACTGCAGGAATGTTGCTTGTCTTTGATACTCTGTTTTGGTTAGGTTGCTCATTCTGTCATACGTCCTTTATTAAAAAGCACATGATAAGAAGTTCTAAAATGGTTCATTGTAATACTAAAATGCATCTTTGTCTAATGAGTATTTTAGGAAGTAGCCAACTGTTTCGTAATGTGGCGTGTGAAGGTCTCTATGGCGTTATGTAGGTTTGTGGTTGTTCAGCCTTAGTATTATTTTCTGATTTTATGTCTTGCCCAGGGATTAACTCTGCCACACATTTTCTAGAAATAGGAAGGGGGACTTGGTGGTTTAGTGATTAACACAGGAGAACATTTAGATGAAAAGAGCTGCAGAACTCGAGAAACACACAGTTCAAAGTATACATGCTGTGAAGAGAGGCAGAGAAATTTTCTTTCATACGAATTTGCCAATCACACCATTATTTATTTATTTTTAGTTACTTTGCTTGTGGTAAATGTTTACATCAAATCTATCTTGCTGCATTTTTTGCATTGTAAAGCAGTAGCAAGCGTGACTTTTGCAGAAGAGAATCATTTTGCTTTCATATTGAAAGCGTTAAACGTTGGGGTAGAGGCTTTTCTATGGGTCTGCCAGTAAATCACATAGCATTCTGTCAGTGTTCAAATAAATAACTGGAGAAAATGTTCTGCTTTGCTTTCAGGAGTTGCTAAGTCGAACATCACTAGAGACTCAGAAATTAGACCTAATGGCTGAAGTTTCAGACCTGAAGATTAAACTGGTTGGTATGGAAAAGGAACAGAGTGAATATGAAGAGAAGCAGAACAAAGCTGAGGTGAGCTTCTTTCATTAGCTTGTTCTCTTTTCTTTTTCTTTTTTTCCCTGTGATGTGTCTATGTTATGCTGTCATACACCTGAGCTTTTGACCTGAAATCAGCATGCAGTAGCATTTTCCGTGCTTACAGCACAGTCCGTATCATTGATCCTGTGAATTCAGTGAGGAATATGATCATGTGTTTTTGGGATGTGGTTTCTTTTCCCCTCTCTCATTATACTTCAAAGATTGCTGTTTGGCTTTAATCAAGGCACAAAGTCCCTTCCAGAAGCATACATTACAATTGGTGTTGACATAACCCTTTCCTTTCCACAGGAGCTGGACTGGCACGGCCATGTGAGGCCAACCAGAGCTCTTCTATTTCCTCATTTATGTGGCAGAGAAGACTGTCAGCTCAGTAGTATCAGGGGTGCTACAAATACTTAGGTGATCGCCCTTGGTGATTTTAATGCATTCATGGCACTTGGGAGGGAAAGGCAAGGGGCAGGGCATTTTCCTTAAATGAGCCTTTCCCTTTTTGGTTATGTCATAAAAAGTGCCCCAAAAAATGACATGCATTGGGGGAAATTCTAACCTTTACTCCTCTTCAGATGCGGAGAGTTCTGGACATCAAAGAAGCTTTGCTTTTTACTGTATTGGTTAAGAAAGAGAGCACAAAACGGGGAATCATATGAACAACGTTCATTTCATGGTAGTGAGCAGCAGGTGGAAGCTGGGAAGGAAAGTGATTATGGAAGACAGTAATTCATCCAAATTGCTATGTGTTGCCCTACTCAGTGGTCTTGTGAGGGGACCAACTAGCAGGAGAGGATTACCTGGCAAGGGAATATTACTAGGTCCAAGGTGTATACATTGCTGACTGAAAAAAGACTTTATATTCCACATTGACTTGGGAGAATTTGAAATCCACGCAGTGTTAGAAAACTGTTTGCTCTCCATAATGTTGTTAGTGGAATATTAGATAACTATACATAAGTAATTTACCTGCAGTGACATAATACGTTTGGGGCGTGTTTGCGTTTTGACTTATTTATCCTCTGAAGTTTTCTTTAGAGATTAAAAGATATCTTATAGAGAGCAATTTCTGGCAGAAGTTGCAAGCCGGAGAGGCACCACCTGCTGTTTTTACCATCTGAGGCCGTCTCATGCTCTTTCACCCAGAATCATCAGTGTCTTGTGTGTAGAAGGCCTAAGTGGTCTCGTACTACCTGAAGATCTAAACGGGTCTGTGGAGCACTTAATTGCTGCAGATAGCAGCTTGCTCCTAACAGCCATCTCCCCGAGAGGCCTTCAGCACTTCCCATGATGCGTCCAATACCAGGATGAGGTTGTTTAAATTATTGCAGGACACGCACAATCAGCCCGACTCCTGGAACACAACAACACTTTTGAGTGCGTTTGCATTGACGGGAGTTTAAAGCAACCAGTAGGTCTGAGCCTGTGATGGGGGTGAGGCTGGGACCTGTGAAATTCTTCTGCCACAGCAACAAGGTGTGTGGCCCCCGTGGATGGAAAAGTTGAGCTTTATTGGCCTGAGAGCCTTTGTTGTATTGCTAAGTGATAGGAAACGTTCC